CTTTCTGCCCTGGCTGCGTCTGGGCTCTCCCGATTCCTCCGCAGCTTGCCTGGGCAGGGATTCTGTTTCTCATGACGCCCTACATATTTTGGGCTAGGTGATCTCCAGAGGTCCCTTCCAACCTTGGCCGTTCTGTGATGCGTTGGCCCAGGGTTTCTTACCAAAGTGGCCACTTTCTGCCCTGGCTGCGTCTGGGCTCTCCCGATTCCTCCGCAGCTTGCCTGGGCAGGGATTCTGTTTCTCATGACGCCCTACATATTTTGGGCTAGGTGATCTCCAGAGGTCCCTTCCAACCTTGGCCGTTCTGTGATGCGTTGGCCCAGGGTTTCTTAGGAGTTACACCTATGTTTTGAGTGCGTTCCCATCTTTTTTTTCCCCTCACAGTTTATAAAATACTTGTCGAGTCTTTTGAAGAGCCTGTGACTTCCAGATCTGAGGGGTCAACACGTGCACCTTTCACGACATGCTTCCTCATATCCCTGTCTTACCCACTGAGGACTCAGAGGCGCAAGTAGCTCGTGTCAGCTGTCTCGAGATAAGTTCAGGCCCTGGCCAAAATACGCCTGCCTCTTCAGAGGAACACCCTGTTCGGCAGTGCGCTGCACAGGTCAACAAGTATGCAGAATATTGCTTGAGGGTGAAAAGCAAGCAGAAGACCATACCTACCAAATCTGGTGTTTAACCCTACATAAAAAGCAGCTGCATTGCTCAAAAGCGTGGTGAGGTTTCTGCAAAGCGGACTTGGATTGTGCTTCAAGTTCTTCTGAAGACCTGCGTCTCCAGTGAGTGCTGCTCCCTAGGGACAACCGGAAACAGCAGTATATCAAACGTTCCTAAGAAGATTTCCTTCCTTACACCAAGTCCAATTTTGTAAATTTATGAGATCAAAGCTGTGCAGGCATACAACTTGTGTTTGTCCTTTGCCATCTTTTTCTTTTTTTCTCTCTCTTTTTCCTTCCTAATAAACAAGAGTGTTCTTGTTTCTTCCCTTTCTGCTGCTATTCCTTCCAGTTCTCTTTATCACTTGCCCTTTATGGCACAATTGTCTTTGTTCAACTGAAGGACTTTATTGGTCGTTCCAAGTTACTTTATAATATTTCTAGTGTTTCCTCTAAGAAAAAGCTGAGGAAATTTGACATTTCCTTAAGTGTAGACTTCTTTTTGGTGTTGTGCCTAGTATCATTGCAAGCACAGCAACAGCTGAATTGATAGCCCTGACCTTAAAAGCAACTATTCATAACATCACAAAGTCATTACACTGTTCCTACTAGAAAAAGGCAAAATAAGACGCTCTCAAAATGACAATCAGGTAAGGACACAGGTTCACTGCTGTAAAGTCTAAGACTGTTTTTTAGTTACTTTTGTACCGCAGCGGTGAAATTAGCATTTCCAAGTACTGTGTCTATTACTGTTCCAAAGGTCAGAAGTTTGTACAAGTTCTTTGGCAGAACATACTATCCTTTTTCAACTTTAATACATAAAACATTATTTCCAGTACTGTGAGACTCATCTAAGATTCCGTGCCAGGAGCCCAAATCTAAAAGCTATAGATAATAAAAAAAAGTCTCCTAAGTAATGGAGGAGAAGCAAGTGGAAAAGAACTGAAGCAAGACTCCTTCTTTATGAAGTGACCCTCTCGTTCCTTTTTTTTCCCCTCATGCTTTCCTCTTTGTTTTTTAACCAGAGACGTAATAGTGAATCACGCAATTCTTCTTTGTCAGTTTAATTTATAGTTAAAGGATCATGTGAAAAATTAGTTATCATTCCCCAAGTGCAAGTGACTAGAAAAATCTTAATGTAAGACTAGAACAAGGTGTAATTGAAATCTAGGCTCTGAAAGTTCCCATGAATCTATAAAAATTTAAATCCTAATCCTGATTTTTAGAACTTAATTCTTTCCACCACCTATTCTAGCTGTTTGGCATGCCTGCAATCAAAATATCACGGAAATGAGCACTCAACATAGGAATAAAATGAAGAGCCTAAAAATTCCTTTCTCTTTTGCACACAAATTATGTTACTTTGTGTACATCAGTCAGGGGGGAGTGGAATGGGTATACAGAAGTATAGGCACATAGGAAGTATAGGTGTAGGAAGAAAAGCTGTTTCAATTTAGTTGCTTGCCGCAACGGACCTGTGAAACAAGACTTTCCTCACAAAAAATACCTGAATGTAGATAGATAATGGCTCTAATAGCTGCAATTATTCCAGGGGCTATTTCAGCTGTCAAGTTTAATTTTCCAGATATCTTGAGAACAATGGAAATGAATGTCACAGTCTTTAATTGCTTACTGGTATACAACGTATGTCTCCACATAGTAAAGCCTAGATATTTAAATACAATTAAGACGCTTTCACGAGTGAGTAATTTCAGGGCTGGGATTAAAGGATGTGGCCAAGCAGGATGCCTATTGTTTGTGCAGAAGGGAGAATTACTTCCCTTTTTCTGGATTGTATCAATCTACCCTAATAACGCATCGTTACTTACCATTTTAATCATTATTTTTTGAAAAATAAAGAATAATATCTTACATACAAGGATCAGTGATGTCTTGCTAGGTATATGTGGATGAGTTGCAATCTCAAGAGATTAAATTTTTCTTCATCAAGCGCCTGTGAATTCAAAAAGATCAGCTAAATTATGAAGTACACGTCCTCATCCTGGTAGACATCTCCCGACAGAAAAGGACTTCTGTTCCTTCAATTGTTCGGTTTCACTGACACTCCCAAAAATGTCTTTTAAATCTCACGCCTTTCAGCGTCAAGCACACATCCCAGATTCTTCAGGGTAGGACACAGCTTCCTCACCTCTCCCAGTGGGAAAAATACACATTCATCTTATACCAAAATATTTTTACATGTATTTTTATGTATTCTATGTATTTCTTGTTCCCATGAGCGTTGTTATAGTCTGGCAATTTCCTTCCCCTCTCCAATTAGGCTGTTATGCTATTCTTGGTTTCTTAGCTCTGAACAAAGATTTTCCTTCAGAGGTTCATTCAGTTACCCTAGTTAAGTATAAAATGTATTTAACACACTGCAGGGAAGACGTACAAACTAATTCTCTGCCTGACTAGAAGAAAACACAATGTTCTGCGATCTCCAAATGGGAAAAGCCTCTTTAGCCACTGTTTTATCCTATGTGCTTATTTTGTTTGTTACCTTCCTGAGTAAAGTATAGTTGTTATTGTTCAGTAAAAGTGTGTGAAATCAGGGATGCAAAGGGATAATTAGTAATTTTGTGCAAGTGCACTCTTTGCGGGAAACGAGTTGCAACAATTTTGCAAATGTCACAACTCGGTTTGACAACATACCCAGATAAGAAAAGTATTTTGTCCTGAGATTACAGGACAAATTCTGAAATTACATCCCAGAAAATGTAAAAGATTGCATTATTTTTGCAAAATGAAAAGCAAACGTGAAATGGTCACTTCATATTCTACCACTAGTTTTACACCTTCTGAGGCAAAGTTTGCCGCGCCAGGGGTAGTACTCACAACGTCACTCAGAAGACCAAAGAGGAGAGAGCAAATCTGTCTCGCCCAAAAGCAGTGCTTTACTGTTAACTTTAATCATTAAAATTCAGTTCACAATGATAATTTTGCCAGATATTTGCAGCTCCTGCAGTGACTTTTGTGCAAACAAATGCCCATACCTGGATTCAGACCCATCATAAGCAATTAGCTCACTTTCCAAAAGAAACAGGTTCATGAAATCACACGGTCTGCCAGGCAGTCTTCTTCCTATCACTTTTGATCCTGTTGTCCATTTTCAACTAGACTGCATAGAGGCGTAAAGATTGTAAAAATATGTTTGTGCATTTTTAATATAAATTGGCAGCTGGGTAGAAGAGAGATATAAAATGACTGTCTCGCTTAGGGAAAGGCTGTTGCATGTGCTCCCTAGTTATCCGTTCAGTTTTGCCCAGCCGCTGGCCCGCTGGCACGAGCGCGGCTCCAGGCCAGGCAGTGAGCG